TTGAAAAAATATAAGCTTGTAGGTACTGGTACACAGGACACTCTTTACAAATATTTCGAAATATCGGCCTAAGTATGCTTGAGAATTCCCAAAATCAGAATCAAAATAAATGTATTGTTAAATGTAATAATTGAGAATCACCCTGTATATACGATAGCTAATTTTATTCTTCTCGAGTATAATTGCGACAAATGCGGGGTACAATAAAGACAGTACATTTTTAAATAAATCGCCCGCAGCTCATAGAATATATCCGTAACAACCCGTTTTTCACGAAGATTTATTCGCGGCACGTCTATAAATCGGATTTCTCGAAAAATCCACCAAGATTTTCCCAATTCTGTAGCCGTTAGTAATTTATACGAAAACCTCACAAGGATTCAAAATTAAACGTCATGGAATCAATAGCCATTGTTGGATACTTCGATTGGAGGGTTCTATTGTTTTCCCTAGCTTACCGCACAAAACGTCGTTGTTGATACGGCCAAATTACCTTTATGCGAAAAAAAAACACAATACTAAAATTTTACAGCGTTTTTTTTTTTTGTGAAAATTCGTGTAAATTCAAGGTCAAAAAAACCACAACGGTTATTAACAATCAATCGGAACGTTATTACATGCCATTGAAATAATAATAATGCATATTATATCTGTTTCAATGCATATAAAATAGAAATTTTTTTAGATTCCAAGAGGAGAGATGTATTTGTAGGTTCTACATTGATGATTTTTTGTGCTTGAAGCCACTTTTTATTATAGAAAAAAGCTCTGATTTCCAACTGAGCAAGGTGTCTTGTATTTTTTTTGTTTTAGGTACTTTAAAACCAAATAGCCTTAGAGATTTGTAACCGCTATATATATATATATATTATATATAAGCATTATATATATATATAGACTTACAGAATATTTTGGTTCTTTTTGATCTATTTATAGACCATTTAAAATTTTTGAATTTTTTTATCCTCATTCGACTTGATAGCATTTTTGCTTGCAAGCTAAAAAGTTTGAAAATGTAATACAAGGTTCCCTACAACAATGTAAAAATATCAAAAATATGGTCTCAATTTTTTTTATAAGCATTTGAATATAAAATGTTGACGACATTTGTCAACATCTAAAATTATTTTGTATAGACATAGGCGGTCATTTCCACCCAGAATCATATTTGACCTCACCAAATTGAATTGCAATTTGAAACATCCATTACAGTGACCTACTCAATGACGAGGTAGATTCGACATTTACCTAGGTATACAGCAAAGTGACTTCCCCGATTTTTCTTTATTACATAATAAATTGTAATCTTTATAACGTTTTAAGTATAAAGTTCGATCTACCGTGTTTCTAAAAATTTATAACATGAGCTTGGAGACTTTGAACACCTGCAAAATAATTTTAAAAACCCGATGAGTCATACGTGATAATACACGTAGGTAATACTAAATCAACTAGGTACAGAAAAACGATGTCATCGTTTCTTTTTTAAATTTCAACTAGACACATAACACGTTTGTCGAATTTGTTCAAATAGTTATCGACGAGTAATTTTCGATAAAATACATTTATTATTAATTTTCCAATGCACCGAGCATGTAACATATTTACATATTATTATTGAAGTATACCGTATACGAATTTACGAGCAAATTGGCAACGTCTCACCATAAGCAATGTGTCAATCAAAAATTATGTTTTGGTTCTGGTTCGCGTACGCTGTTGCCAACTATTCCGAAGATATATTATTACTATTATTATCATTATTATTATTATTATTACTGTACGCTGATAATAATTGACCGAATTTTTAAGGCCAAAAACCGAGTGGCACTGGCCCAAGTTATCTTTCACTATTTTTCCGTTGGTTTTTGACGACATTGTCAAGAGATCCAGAAAGTGGACATTCCTATTTTCTTGTCATTTTCAATTTTACATCAAAGCAGTAACCTACGTTAAAGTGTATGCTTGTATATATCAGTAGGATAGTCAAAGGTTATAAAAAATATCACTGCCATTATGTTTCTGAAATTCGTGGGGATCAATCTATGAATGAACAATTTTAAGGCGACTATTTTTCAAAATATTCTAAAAAAGTAATAGAGTATAAAACAAATTTGAACAATTAAAAAATAACTGCAAATATTAGTAATTGCAATAGAAATATAATTTATAATTCATATTATGTTGTATTAAAATAGTATTCAAATTTTGTAGACTTTAGCCTATATGATAAAAATCATAATATATTTAAATGAGAGAAATATGTGCAATAGAATGTATCATGTATGTACTTACAGAAAACTAGATAAACTATAGCTTATATTTTATTGGTATTTCATATTAATCTACACGTATTCAAAATATGGATTATAAGTTTCTTTATGTCATTCACTAGTCAGTAATTACAATCTGATAAGATAAATAATAAATAGTAAGTATTAATTGTTTTGGATTATAAATTATTAACAGTATTAACCCAAGTTTACATGGTAATAAGGTATTACACATAAATTATTTATGATAACATAAAAAAATTACTATAGATTAAAATGACCTCATTGTTGATTACTACAGAAATTGTAATACCCGAGCATGAAAGAAATAATAAATGGAAATTACTTTATTTGTTAGTATTGTAATATATAATCTATGTTTACTGTAGGTTGAAAATTAATCAAATTTAATTTGGTAGTATATAAATAATAAATAAATTATAAAAATAAGCTAAGACGATAGAAAATCAGCAGATGCAATGTTGACCCCTAGTACTTGAACTCCATTAAATTCAATAGAAGTATAGGTTACAGCCAACCAATTGATAGATTATAAAACCAAAAAAACTTTATAAATAATAAGCTAATATATAATTACAGTAATAATATAAGTATACATAAAAGGAAAATAAATGCATTTTTAAACATTAGTAAGGATTTCTAGAGTAGGTACCTACTGTGTAACTATTAAGAAATTGAAGAGAGAAAGTTTTGGTCATAATTGAATCACTAACCAATATTAATATACAATATATATTTATATTGACAAACACAAAATTTTAGGTTACAACCTTAGATCATGTACTATGTTATGATCACAGCTTAAAACCATTGTTAAAATCAAAAGAACCTTAATAATAATTATTGATAATTAAATTATGAGTTTGTGATAAATTTCAAAATAAATAAGAATAGCTATTTGAATAAATTTCCCTAAATGATAAATTGTGAATTCCTATTTCAAAAATGTTATGTTATTAATGATAATTAATAATTATCGTCTTATTTGATTATTTTAAAGCTTTGATTTAACCAAGTGAAATAATTGTTATCTTTGATAACCAAAGGTCCCATCAGGGCTTAGGAAACCTAAACATTGGCACTCTACAAATAGAAAAACATTAACTCTATTAAAGAAGTATTTAAAAAAGTATTTTTACAATTATAAGTTAAGTCAATGTAAATATATAAGCATGCTAACTATTTATCAATTTATCTCAATTAAATGCATTATATTCTTTAATTATTTAGAATTACTTGATTAGGTAAATTTCATACAGGTATCTTTAGGCGCGGACTGGTAAAAAAGGGCAAGGGATACTACACAATTTAAAGGGCAAATAACGAAAATTGTTGGGGCAAATTTAAAACATGTAGATAATTTATAAAATATAAATATATTTTGTTTTGTTTTGAAAAAATATTAAATATTGAATATGCGTTAAGAACATAAATAAGTAACAAGTTACAACAAAATTTCAATCAAAATTTTACAATATTATAGATCACTAATAATTGTAAGTTGGTAATAACGATCTGCTGTGCATTAGGTCTTATATAGGTATCTAGAGTCTTTAAATATATAATAAACAATATTAGGCAAATATATTTTAGGGCAAGGGAATCCCAGCATCCCAGTCAGCCTGCGCCTGGGTGTCTTATGTTTTTGTGATTATAATTTATATTACGCTTAAGAGGACGTCGCACCCGCATGTGTCGCCTTTGTCTTACACACTTACGATTTACCAAATTTTTGTTCGCTAGTTTCAATAGGGTGCTGTTAGTTATGATATTAGAGTGATTTTACCTACTACCAAACTTTTAGTTAACAACATTGTCTGTGTTCTCTAATTGATTTTTTACAATATTTTGTCCTTTTAAGGAAGCATAATACATATTACATATCTATTTAGTTTTTAATTTTTATGCTTACATAAAATACAAATTTATTTTTATTTCCATAATTGTTACTTATTATATTTTATTTTAATTAAAGTATTAATTTATTGATACGAACAAAAAGAGAAAAGTCAGTACACTAAATAATAATCACAGGACTATCCAAATTTGATGATTTAATAATTTGGAATTGATTTAAAACATACTTTGACTTTAATATTATATTAAAAACAAATTTAATAGAATTCACGTGGTTTTTATCATTGCATATCAACAGTTGCAGTAATAATATATTTGTAATTCAACTCATGATTATTACCTCCTAACACAATTATATAAAAAAATAACAGATACATAAACTACAATTAATGATGAAGTAATAATTTGAAGAATACGTTACTTACAAATTATTTGTAAAAATTAAAATATTAGATATTTTGAATGGTATATTATTTAGTATGTAATTACGCACTAAGTTATGTATAACCTATGAATTTCAATGAGATCATTATATACAACAGAAGTAAATAAATTTAAAGCAGTAAATAAATGACAAATTAAATAACTCTATCTTATGCACGTTTTATCCTGTTACCAAATCTTGACATAATGCAATTATTTTGCATTCATAAATTATATTTTATTATTTTCATTTAAAATCTCATTATATGAATGACATTGAAAACCATCGTCTGTAGTTACAGATGGATAGTTATTTATAATAAAATGACAGGTCTCTTCTAACTAGTCCCAAAATAAAATAATGGTAGTATGAAAATAAAAATGAATACAAAATATTCATAGTAATATTAATTTTCTAATATTTAATTAGTAGGTATCAACATGAAGACAGATATATTTTCTTACCATGATAGTGTTGCGAAAGTAGCTAATCCCGGATCTTTTAATGTGTGGTAACATGCTTTTGTGCTGAAAAATTATAAACCATGTAATTTATATAGTAATTACTATGTGTATTTTAAATTATTAGTTACCCACAAGAAATTTGAAAAACTTACATTTGATGTGAGATAAAGATTTTTATCCTTGAGCAACAAAACTGTTACATCCCAGAACGGCTTTGTTTTATTGCAATCATACACCCATACTTGGCCAAAATGTAGAGGACAGGTGTCACCATTGAGGACTTTCTAAGTATTATAAACAAAAATAATATGATATAATTTACTACTATAACAAATAGTTATCCCTTATTAAATATTTTGAACTATTTACCAATATTTAAAAATAATCCAAGATTTAAGCTAAAATATATATATTAAAAGATATGAATATAAATTAAAATATTTGTCAAGAAATTATTCGAATTTTAAAAGTTAACACGTAGACAGTGTACTAAAAAGAAATTTAACAACAGTATTTTCTGTTAGATCTGTTTATTAAATACTCGGTTTATGGTTCAAAACATTTTTTACATCAACCATTGTCACACAATATCAAACAATAGTATTAAGGCATAATATAATGCATGAATAATAAAATAAGCATCATGGTTACTGGTTAGCGTTTTGAATTCATGGGACCATTTGGTAATTTTTATAGTAAAATGTGGAATATTGTGGACATTATGAAAATACAATTTAACACTGGGTAAACCTTAAATAATTTAGAAATTAGTTAAAAAGTAAAAATGGTACTTTTTAGTTATCGACTTATCCTGACTACATATATTTATACATTATTATGTAAGTCTTTCCATAGAAATGGAATTTTCATTTTTGTTACATTCCATTTCTAAAGAAAGACCCACGTATTAAATAAAAAATGTGTACCTCAAATCAAACTAACTTTTTTTTAAGTATAAATGAAAAAAATAAAAAATTACTATAATGAATCAGTTGATTTAAAAAAGATAACATTTTAAATAAATAATTCAACTTGGCCTCCAATTGATGTTCTAAACTTGGCTGAAGATCAAATAATTAACATTCTGATTAAGAACGATCAACGTAATAGGTAGAATAATAAATAAAAAAAAAGTGGGTTGCTCCCCAACCTCATACAAGTCTTAGATTAATTATTATAAGTAACTAACAAATGGAAAATACTAGGTCAATCAAAATGTGTTTAATATATAATTGTGTAACTATTTTGTACAAAATAGTAAAACTAATTGGGTTAATTTCAATTTTAGAATAAACGATGTAATTTTTTTTTATATAAATAGTCCGATTTTAGTTTTTATTATTTATGTGACATGTTAATATTTATATAATACGTAATACATGTGATATAGTTAATAGTTATTAAGATGTTTAATAATGAGGAAGTTAATTAATTGTATGGTATTTATTGCTTGAAATAAGTTTAATGTATCTTGATTAAGCTTTTTAGTTAGGGTTTAACTTCAATACTTACTAATTAAATCAGATTTACTGTTTTACATCAATTAAAAAAAGTAACTTTTATGCTGCCAAAATCTGAAGTAAGGGTAAATTAGTAAATTAGTTTTATTGTTTTTTTTTTTCATCTTAATTCACTGGACTACAATATAATTAACTTACCTAATATTTTTATCTCCTTTGAATTTTTATAATACATTGATACTTAGGGAAGTCATTATTTATTTGTCTATCTTATTTTTTTTATAAATTCTGATTGTTTCAATCGAAAAAATAATATTCTGTATACATTTTGTTATTGTTTGATTGAATATTAACAATATTAAATTACCTGTATAATTTTGGCTTGTTTTTTTGTACCAATATCCAGTGTTCTGTAGAGAGAGAATTCCTATAAAAAATATTAATAGTTAAAATTGTTGAAAAATGTACTTTTGTAGGACAGGCCTTAAGACACTTGACTGGAAAAATATTATATTTTTTTAAAAAATTCCCATTGCCCACTATACATAAAATAAAAATTTACTTCTGGGTGCTTGAACATGTGAAACATTTTGTTGTTTAGTCGGAGCACCAAAATTCTGTTGTTTTTATCTTCCATTCTATGGTGACATAATAACACAGATTCGTGATTTTCTAATGTTCTCTCTTAAAAAAAAATTAACAGCATAATATTATTAGGTATACCCAACAGTCATAAGCAAAGGTTAAACGGCATAATTAAAATTACATAATTACCTATCCCTTCGTCCTTCCAAACTTCTACGATTGACCAGCAGTAAAATTGGCTGATAATTTTTTTGCCAATCTGAGAGCATACTTGTTCGGATGTTGTACTCGGGGTAACTAAAACTGTTTCATACGTATCATCAGCATGATAAACTTTAATTTCTCTCTGAAATCATCGAATTCACAAGATTACTACTTACTTATGGAACCTCATCATGGACAGTAGAATTTTGCGTTTTGAGTGCTTTAAGCTATAATCTATATTAAATGTTATAGTAGCAAACTAGCCAGTAGGTACGAACACCAATAATGCGCAAAAAATTGTTGAACTTCAATAACACAGTGTTGTTGTTATTAAATATTATTATTATGAATTATGATAGTAAATATTATCGTGTTGATAACATTGTTTTGGAAAATATAACTCATGGAAGATAAAATAGGATTTTTAACCTCATTTTTTTTTAAAAATTTTAAAAACTCAACTACGCGGTAACTAGCTATAGTAGCTATCACTATAATTTGTGGTTGAATTAAAAATTTGAATAGTATTCAATCTTACCGGAGTCAAAGGGAGGTCCAATTGGTCATCTGAATAGTTTTCATCTTCGAACTGTGTGTAAGGCAATGACGACGTCATCTTCTTGTCAGATTTATGACCTACTCGTTTAATCAATGACCAAATCCTGTAAAATAAAAAAATATCCATACGGAAAATTGATATCAATCATTATTACATTTTACGTCAAAAATCATTATGGTCAAGGCCCACAGGGCACAGAGTAGCTTGACGATAACCGGTATATTATATTAAATCATATGTTTTTGGCACCCAATATTTCACCTATCTATCGACACACCACATCTACCATAATATATGTCTACTGTGACAAATTATTATTATTACTTATTTATTTGTACCGCGGTATACGCAGTCTTATCTACCGCCGATAATATTACCCATTAATAGTAAGTATAGCAATTTATCACTAAATACGCGGAATGTTCCATTTAACTGGTTAGTGGTTACAAACATAATTTTCCACGAAAATGTTGCCGATGGTCAAACAATTTAGTTACCTTTGAAATATACACGAAAACTTTAAAAACGAGCAACGGATTTTTACCAAGGAACACAGTTTAACCAGTTGGATGATCACTCCCTACACCAAACACTGTTATCTAATCTACAGGGTGTCACAATAGCTGGATATGTATAATCGAGTACTTGTTCAAGCCCTCCTATAAAAAAGGCTAATATAGTGCGTGACGTATTTACTCATTTATCTGCCTCCGGACTAGACATTAAAACCGGCATAACTATTTTTGAATACTTAACGGATATTAGTATTCAGGTTATAATATATTTACATAAATCAGCTCTATAAATCCGAACTGTATCTCTACAGCTGCAACAGCTGCCGCCTATATTATCATGTTGAAACACGAAATCAACATCACGAGGTGTCGAGGTACCCTGTATGACTGTATACTATAGTCATAAATATTAAATATACCCCCTATCGAGCTGCAGCGTGTCACGTGAGAACCGAAAATATATTTATACTTGCAGTATATAATATATACAACTATACAAACCACAAGGTGATCCATTTAAGTGTTTTAATATTCATTATTTTTTAAGTCTTAACTTTAATTTTTTTTTACATAATTTGATGTCATGAGCATTATATATTTTTTTAGATTGTATCAATACATAATAATCGAATTTACCTAGTTATTAGTTAATTAGAGTAACGGTGTCGTAAGCGATCTTCCAAAAAAAACACTTACAAATAGTTAGTACAAATTACCAAAGTAAACTTTTTTAAATATTTATTTATGAAAAAGCGAGTTTCATAAAATAATTGTATTAAAAATAAAACAAAAAAATGTAATATAAAAATATAGGTATTCAAGAAATTGTAGTTAATTGTCGATAATTGAATCATTTGACGGATACATATTGCATTATACGTAGATCACCACCATTATTCTTGAAACCTCCTTTCAAGCAAATTGAAGCACCATTAACACGCGTATAGAACATTTTTGTTTCGTAAATGGTAATACACCATAAACATTCATTGTGCTGTTTATGGGATACAGTTCATGAGTCTATAAATGTGGTCCTTATAAGTCCCTATACAACAAATAGTGGATCATAAAAATTATGGTAGATTGCTTACGACACCAGTGAAGTACATGCAGATCACTTACGACTCCGTTACTTTTATTAATTATAAGCTATAAGTATACAAGTATACTTCTAAATGTTCTACTTAGAATGATGTGTTTGGCTAAAAAGGATTAAGGACGCCTTATTTTTAAAATGATTTAATAATTAGTTTTTTGTTATGTTGGGTCACTGATTTATATATTATTATTATGTCTATAGTCTATATGTCTGTTATTAGACCTCTAATTTGATTATTAATATTAACTACATGGACTTGTTTTGTTTTGTTTGAAAATAAATAACGATTAGATATAACCAGTATATTATTATATATTATACCTAGTATATGTATAGACAGTATATTATTATATAAATTATAACTAATTGGAAGTAGCTACTGGTTTAAAATTCGAGTTTCGTGTATCGAAGTACTCAAAAAAATATTCTGCTTCAGAATATGAAATTAAATGGATATGATGCTGTCATTCAAAACAAATGATAACTTAAAAAATGATAAGGATATAAAATTGTAATAATATAATTTTTTTTTAATGTTGTTTTTCAGTGACATCAAAATACCTACGTAAAAATAATATTTTCGAAGAGTTAACAACATTATAAGTGCGTAGACTCTTAAATGGATCACCTTGTATATATATTTTTACCAAACACGTGTTACCGACCGACTGTATATAATATAATATATTGTATATAAAATTATGTGCGACGTGATACGACTCCATAAAGTGGCGACGCAAACATTTATTTGTCACGAGGTTGTTTATATTTTTTTCTTTCTTGCACCTGCCGTCCCTATTTTGGATATATCTATACTTATACATTAGAATTGTGTACACGAGTATAATATAAATTATAATATCCGGATACAAGTACCAAGTACGTCTTATTATACTTCTGATAATCGAGTCTTAGAGTGTAAGACCCGGGCGCAAGACCACAGTCTCAAAAAAATAAAATATACACATATTATAAACACATTTCTAATAGTATATATTAATATCATCTTTGAATTTATTATTGCGTCGCGTGACACGCTACGTAATATAATGTATAAATATAGGTATAAATACAATTTTAGTCCATCGTGTATTAATTAGTGTATATATGTTATATAAATATATTCAAATTATACTGAATGAAGATATACAACTACAAGACGTAGTTATAATATCTTCCAACAATATTTAAAATTGAATATGAACTGTCGTTATAGGAATACATCAATGAGCAAACTTATACCTACCTACATTATTTATTAATAATTTACATTTGAAATGATCGGAATTCCGAGAAGACTGTTATCGCGTAAGGAGTACCTACTGTCACCGCATTGACCTAATCAATCCTCTTGGGCAATGCGCCCACTGATATTTGTAAAACCACAATTTTTTTTTATTATTTTTAGGATTTCACTTATTAGCATTTTCTTTACTATATAGCACAAACTTTTATAAAAGTAAGATGCGAATTATTCAACTTACCACATGATGTATAATAGTTTTTATTTTGTTATAAATATTTATATTATACGTGTTTGTATATAATCTCTATGCAGTAGATATTATAGTTAATAAAATAATTTGATTTATAGATCGATGCTTTAATGCTTTTATAAGGTAACTTGTTATTAATTCTAATTTCTAAATACATAGTATAGGTTTAAGGAATACTACAGGGCGCTTGTAAATTGCTCCCACATTAAGCTGGTAATAAAAATACTATAGTAAATTGCGCCCGTGATTTTTTGGTTTCTAAAATAGGTATATTAAATCGAGCCCGGGATTTTTAGGGGTCTAAAATGGGTATAATAAATTGAGCAAATAGTATCCAAGTGATTTTGAATTCATCGTTACCTATTATGATTTATTTTTTTTTTATTAATGAAATTTTAACATTACATTATGATATATTATGATTTATAACATATTTAATGTAAGTACCTGTAGGCTTTAGATAAACAATTATACAAACAACTTTATTAAATAAGACATAAAGTGGACTGCTCACCATGTGAGTTGCCAATTGGACACAGTTATTACTCAGTACAATGTGAATATATAGTTATTTTTATGGAAAAACATATTGAACCGTAATAAATGAAATCAAGGAATACAAATAAAATGGAATAAAACATCAATTGTAACACTGTTCTAAGTAGTTTAAATAGTGAAGCTATATAATAATATATAGGCTTATCAATAATATGCAGAAAAAAATTAAGAATATAGATGGTATTGGATTATTCTCACGAATTAGTCTCAAGACTAGGTTAGGTTTACTGTGCCTATCAGTAATATCAGAAATATATAAATAATTATTATAAAACTATGTTGACATTTTATAATAATTAGTAATTACTATTTTATTTTATACAATTATTTAAATAAAAACAAAAAATTAAAAATTAATTGATCGTTAGTAAAGACAAGCGCTCTTTAGCTAAAATTAAAACTTTTTCACCGAATTGGTAAATTGGTGGATTATGTAGATGTAGAAGCAACAACTGGTTTTCAGTATTTGACAGTACCTGCAGGAGGTTCTGACAATGCTAACATTCAAACGGGAAAAACTGATTGTACATTTCAGATAGTTTCTAACGCGTTTTAGCCTTTAGGCCTATAGTTAATGACGGGGTTAAATAAGTTAATTTTTTTTTCACAAATAAAATTAATTTTTAAATGTCGAGACGCCAATGGTTATTCATTTCAGCTCTGGGGACATTGAATGTATGCTAATAAGGAGTGTGACTAATACATTTCTTAGAACCACATTAAAATAATTTGAGTGTTTAAAAAAAACTGATACTTAAACAGTAAAACTTGATACTGATATATATAAACTGGATGTACCACATATTATATAAAAAAATAGTTCATATTGTAATATAATATAATATTTAAAAAGATAAGTACACACAAAGACTATAAGTGTCTACAACGATTGAACTAAGTATACGTAATGTGTATGCAGATATTTTGTTTCTGTCACAAACACTTATTTTTCATTTACAAATTTATAATGTATAACAATTACAAACATTTGTAATCCTAATAATTTAAACATCATACGAGTACAATAATATTACACAGGTATTAATTTGTATTTGAATAGGATATAAATGTAATTTAGTTGATGTATATTTTAAAATTCACAGCGATGAATATATTGGTTTTACAATAATGGTGTGGTTTTTTTTGAGGGGATCAGGGAGTCTGTAGATACCTTTTTGAGAAGTAAAAATGTTTTAATTTTCAAGTTTGTGGGTGGTTTCTGGTAGAAAATTGGAGAACTAGAGAATATATAGAACACTTGAAATGTACACTAAATATTCATATAAACATTTACTAGAAATCATAACATATTTAAAATATTTTTGCTCTTTTTGTACTATTTAAAAATATTTGAAATTTTCAAATAAACAATTTTCAACAAGATATGTTAAAAATGTAATACAAGGTTAAACAAATGGCGAAAATACATAGTCGAATTTTGTCAAAATCACGAAAATA